AGTAAACCTCAGAGACCGGGAAATGGCCAGTAAGGACGTTCGACACTCTCCGGGGAAACTCGACTGATTCCGAGGCTTACTACGGCGCTCAGCCCTAGAAACAGGAGGAGTGATGGCAATAAGAATAAACTGTACCGATAAAGAATTTAAAATGAGTAAAAGTATGAAAGGAAGAAAAGAACAAAAGAAAAGTAAAATTAAATACGATAAAACAATTTCTTATTACATTCTTTTACAAATTTTACTTTGGTTATTTAAACTGTTTTTCTTCCTCGAATCAACAGTTGAATCATTAATCTTTTGTAACAGAAACGCATGGATCAGAAGGGTTTATGTTACTTCATCACTGAAAGTCTCTCTTACACGCGATGAACGCTTTTAACTTGACACTTTGTAAACAAGTATTTTATCTTGGTAATTCCCCAAGAATTAAACGTCTTAATCAAAGCGAGTAAACAAGTGTTGTTTGTTTATGTTGCGAAAAATAACCAATATTCTTTACGCTGCATAGGGATTATAGCTTAGTCGTTAAGCATTGAATCTCACGTCTTTTATTTGAGATCTTTTTGCTATCAATCTTTTTGCTAACACGAACAGAACGGAAAACTAAATGATTTCTGCAGGGTACCCCACAAAAAACAGGAAATTTTAGATTTAGTATATGATGAAAAAATTTAACATATAACAAAATACTTTTTTTTTGTTTGAACACCATATCTAACATTTGTGTTTTTGTTCTATTTTTTAAGGTACTAATTTCTATCATTTGCTTTAGTTTCCAATAATTTTAACAAAAATTCAAACAGTTAAATAAACTGTACCAAATTTCTTGGTCTTTGTGGGGCACCCTGTAATATCATAAATATAAAACAGAACAAACTTAAAAAATGATACGCAAAAAAATCAAAACAAAAAAGCAACAAGAACTAACGTCTACAAAGAGACAAACGATTGAAACCTTACTCTGTTCTACTAGTTAGAATTATAATGATTCCATCACTATTTCTTGCTAAATCGCAAATTTAGGCGAATTAATTTATCGAACAAATCAGCATCTCTATCTATAAAAGGCAGATGTGTGTGTGTGTGTGTGTGTGTGTAACGAATGCACGACCGCAATTTTTGACGGATTTGCACCAAAATTTACATGCACATTCTCCAAGTTAGCGGAAAAGGCCAAGGCCGACTTTGTATTTCCCAACTCCCATCGATAGTGGAAATATTCGATATTTTCATGCTTCTACGGCAGTTTTCATGTAGTTTGCGGCCATTTTCTACTGGTCAGAGTGAGAGCCAATAGTTGGCTGCCACGAATAGGCAGGAAGAAGCGTGTGACCCAACAGCTGACTGACACGAATGTTAACTAGCATGCTAGCATGCAAAAAAAATCGATAGCTGCATTCGTCACAAGTGGGAAAAATTTAAATCTGCATAGCACTTTACTCCAATTGGCTCATTCGCTTGCTTAAACTCAACGTTGATTCTGATTCCGCAGAACTGGGTTGGGTGTGAAAAAGTATTTGTTGTTAACATTCTTTTTTCATTCGGTTTTTCCAGTTACGAGTCATTTTTAAAAGCTGATCGTTTTGTATTCATTTTGTTTAGTTCTTTTTTCGTAACAGATTTAATGTTTAGTATAGAGCTTCGAAAAAATTCGCAGTGTGAGATAGGAAAGAAGTAAGTCATGTAGAAACATCAGCACGGCAAAGGGCACCCCTTTAAAGGCAAGGAAGGGCAAAAATATTTTAAGTGAAGTGATAGCGATTGCTGTATGAGTCGTACGATTTTTGAATCAAGCACAGGCAACGCCGGGCCATGCTGCTAGTAAATTAATAAAAAAGATAAAAAAAAAAAAGATAAACCCGACGGCATGCTTTTAATAGATGCGGCAGTATAATATAAGTAATGGCGGTTTAACAAACATACTATTATTTTATTTACATTATTTACGCGCAGGCTATTGTCCTTATGTTTGTTGTTGTTATTACAACGTTTCAGTCATTCTGTCCTCCGGGCTTCATCAGGTGTATTCGGGGAAGAAACAGGAAATTTCGAACCGAACACTCTATTCAATCTAAGGGGGTAATTTTCTCCTTCCATTTTCCATGTCTAGAGATATCTCGTCTAGGTCTTATTATAGTCTGGCTCACCCCATTTTCATTGCCCGGCACAGGGATTGAACTCACTGTTACGATTTTACTAAATTTACGAACCAACTACTGCCCAAGTGAAGTAAATCGTTGGTTTATACTTACTTATTGTTTTTCTTTTCTTTTTTTTTTAAATATCTTAACATTATTTTTTTTAATTTTTTACTTATAATTTGATAATTTACAATAATGAATATTCCATTCTGGAGTCATCAGGAGATAAATGTTCCAAATACAGACGAAATAAAGATGTTAATCTCTTACCGGTGTCCAGACCATCAGAGTATAAAACGCGGAATAATTTTTGTAGATCTATTGGAAAAAAAGTGCAACATATAGCAGGAAAGAATTGATGATGATGATAATGATTCTTCTTCTTCTTCTTCTTCTTCTTCTTCTTCTTCTTCTTCTTCTTCTTGTCCTGGATATGAAGATTAACTACATTTAGCAACAAGGCCACTGATTGGGAGATTGGCGGTTTTGAGGAGCGTAAAACCACCTCTTAAGTGCTGTGGTTCTCTGACCCTGGGTGGTAGTACCTGCTAGGGTCCCAACTATAGGCAAATAGTGAACTCCAAAACAGAAACCAACAGTACATTTTTATAATATCATGAGCAACAATACATTTTTATAGCAAAAATGACAATCAATGCAACACTATAAAAAGACATTTTCTAGTAAAATTACCAACCATACATTTTAGGATCTACAGGCAATAAGTCTAAAAAAACATACCTTTACCCTGAAAGTGTAAAATTACGCATAAAATATCTGTAGTTGAAAGCATAAAATTACGTGCATAATATTTAGTTTTCGGCATTAAATAAACCATGTAGGTGTTGATATGCCGCTAAACAAAACAACCAACCAACAATATCTATTTATAGTAAAATTACTAACAATGTATATTTAAAGCAAAATGACTAACACTACATTTTATCTGTAATTGAAGGCATACAGTAGCGTTCAAAATAGAGGGTGAAAATAAAAATGCGCAAGTTTTAATGTTATTTAAAATTGACCAATCGGGTAATGATACGTTGTTTATTTGTAATACATAAGTGTATATAAGCTGTCATTTGTTTTAACAAATCATTTTCTGGAAAATATATGAAAGCTTAGTTTAAAGTGTTGACTGGAGATTCTGAAGCTATATTATATTACTCATTATAGTGCACCAGCAACGATGAGAACTTGTAAAACAAGGAACAATTTAAACAGGAATCTTTTTGTTCTATCAATAATTAATGCTAGAAAAGTTTGAAACCAAATGACACTGCATGATATTCCTTCAAGTGGGAGACATTCCTTAGAAGCTGAGCACACGTCAAGTTAAGGATAGTCTGTCAATAATTTCATGTGCAACCTTGGTTATACAACAAAATTTAAGAACAATTGAAAATTTGTTGTAATTTCATAGACCCCATTTCATATCAAATTTGTTTCAAAATATACGTTGTTGTTTTCAAAATTGCTTACTTTGCAATATAATGGTTTTAAAATTTGCATTCATTTATTTTCACCCTGTATATTTAGTCGAAGCCATATAATTATATTCAAATATTTAGATTTCGGCATTAAGTAACGCATAGAGGTTGATATGCTGCCAAATAAAATTAATCCACCAACCAACCATACAAACAACATGAAATAACTCGTCCATGGCAATCGATATAATATCCTACAATTCCTTAAAGAACTACAACGTAAATCACACATATCACCGCGTGTAGTAACCATTTAGTAAATATGTATATGCACAAAAGCTGAGTATAATATACCATGTATTCAATTGTGAAAGCAGAATAACATATATCATATTTTTATTACTTCAAAGCTCCAAAGAAAATTAAATTTCGACATTAAATCACCCACAAGGTGTTGATATGCTGTTAAACAAACAAATCATTCTTCTTCTTCTTTGTAGCTCTGAGCAATGTCTGTTCTACCAACCATTTACACAAGGTATGTTACTAGCTGCTTTCCTCTGTTCATTTTTGCATTCAGAATATCCTGTGAGTGTTAAATTCTCCAAACTCTCTTTCTTCACTAATTGTCCGAGAAATTTCAACTGTTTCTTTCTGATTCTAAATATAAGAGTCCTTTTAATTTTCATTTTTCATAAATTTTCTTTGTTGCTTACATGCTCTATCCATGATACTCTCAGTAGCCTTCTGTAAAACCACATCTCTGTTGCCTCAAGTCTTCTCTTCATCTGTGAGCAAATTGTCCAGCATTCACGGCTATATATATATATATATATATATATATATATAAAAGGAAATATGTTGTAGTGGTTCCAACGAGAGAAAAGTATGTATATATATATATATATATATATATATATATATATGGACTGATATTACTTGTCAGTTCAGCGCTCTTTTATTTAGGTGTCGCATTTTCCGGCCTCTGTTAAAACACATCCTTGATATTTAAGTGTTTGTACTGGCTTGATTTTTGTTATTTCAGCTCTCTATTTGTTTCTGATGATATTTTCCAGTTTCTTAATACTTTGCTTAGCTTTTGGGAGGCATATTTTTCTATTGGAATACGCCTTTAGATTTTAGTGTCACATTTTCTGTCATAATTGATTGATTTGTTTTTCTTTTTACAGCTTATCAACCTTTCGCGGGTTATTTAAAGTCAGAAAATATTTCTAGATTGTAAGAATTCTTGGAGATAATAGTGATTCACTGATACAAGTATTATTAATTAACCCATAGCGGGAGGAGAAAAGGTAGATTTCCCAAAAGTATTTGAGCATGTGGATATCCGACTGGAATTGAAACTCAGATTTCCTATTAACAGTTCTGAGTCATAATCCATTAAGCTATTAGTACATCCAAGCTTACAGCAACTTATATTCCCAAGCAGTCACCTATCTAATTACAGACCAGGCTCGACATTGCTTAACGTCGGTGAACGTACGGGAATCGGTGTGATATACCTATTAACCGGCGTCATCAGTTAAAACAATTTTCAGATAGGTAAAGTTCTGTACTTGATATTGGAAACGCCAGTTCGTAGATCTCATACTGGACTTTTTCTTTAGCTGACAAGTTATGAATTATGATTCCCAAAATCTTTCCGATATTCGAGATGGAAAATAAAAGTAATAAAATAATAATAAAGACAAGGATTCATTATTTTAAATGCATTCATAACAACTGAGAAAAATACATATGTGGGCTGAGAAATATATATATATATATATATATATATATATATAGGTCTGTGAATGTGCGGATATGCATCTTTGGCAGCGTCGAGTTAATTCGTCTGCGAAATATACACATGGATGCACAATACTTACCATATAGACTTAAGTGACCCGCCCAAACATCTATGTTCAGTTTCGAGTCAGACTTTCTTATTTAAATAATACGAACAATGAATGGAAGACATGTTTACATGACAAGCCACAGTCTGCTCCCTGTAATCATTTAGTTCTATAAATATTAAGAGGAGAAATTTGCACAAAGCAAGGCTGCAACAACTGATGGATCAATAAATCGAAGGCCAGTTCTCGAGTGAATTGGGTTCTTATCCAGTTTGACCTATCCTTGGTATTCGAGGAAAATGCAGGTTATATTGCTTCCTTTGGATCTGGGCCAGACATTTCGTCGTTAAGTTTTCGATAGTCGGGTTTTGCGAAGATTGCCAAAATAAAAGAAGGCCCAACGAATGTTGAACCTTCACACAGTTAAAAATTCTATGCTTTACTTCTCTCTGTATGTGTGTGTGTGTGTGTATGGACGCGCGCTTTTACACACACACACACACACACACATACAGACACACACACATATATATATATATATATATATATATATATATATATATATATATATATATATGTGTGTGTATGTGTGTGTGTGTGTGAACCTGCATCCACCTTTGTAGGGGAAACTACAATTTGATCAACTTTACTACTAGTAACAGAGTGTTAAAGCATGCTGGAAATCAGACATCTCTATCTAAATATTTTTTAGCATTTGAAGGAAATGAATAAAACACCAAAAGCAAAATGGAAACTTATAAACAAAATTAGAACTTGTAAAACTTGGGATGACCCATGCCTTTATTTTATATATATATATATATATATATATATATATATATATATATATATATATATATATATATATATATATATATATATATATATATATATATATATATATATATATATATATATATATATATATATATATGTATAAGTATATTTCCATTCACCAATGTTTGGTTAAATAATTTAGAAGTATTATGTCTATTTATTTCAGTTTTAATCCTTTCAATTCCAAGAATTATTTTCTTAGTGACTGGAAAAAATTGATTAAGAAAAATTCCAAAATTTTCTTACAAATAATTTTTATTTTCCCAAGAATATTCAATCTTTTCTGAGACCATCTTAAGGGGTTGCATATCTATGGATGTGTTATGCGTCAACACCGTAAATTAAAAAAAAAACCGTAAAGTAAAATTAATTTTTTACCTCTAGACAAGGTAGGTAAATTATGTGGATTTATGAAAAATTAAAAAATATTTAAAGATTTTTAATTATACTATTTTAATTTAGTATTTTTTATATAACAATTTACTGCTAAAAACATTTAAGAAATTTGATATACTTTTAGTTGATATTATTTATCTTTAGCCGTAATTTTATGATATAAAGGGCTTCCAGAATTTAAAATTTTTTGTTTATTATTATCTTGATTGAGCACTGATGTATTTTCAACTAATATCTATCTAAACTGTGAATGTAGATATGAGTGTCCATTCAAATGTTCTGAAATTGAACTATGGTCGTTCAAATGAAACGTAAGCCTTCTCGTCACCGTCGTTGTTGTAAGACTATCACATGTATTAAGATTTTTATCAGAGATGCAATCTCCCAAAGGACAATTAAAATGATATACAATGTTGGCAAGGCACTAGTTGACGGAGAAGGGTTGTTATTGTTGACTATGTTGGTTGTATTAAATTTAGTATAGTTATAATTAATTTTATTTTTTTTACTTGTGTCAGTGTGGAATCTTGTTTATGAGTCGTTTTAGAATTTTTCCTCCTGCTTATGGTTAGAATGCATTTGATTACGATATAGTAATTTGATACGTTTAGAGTTATTTGAGGACGTATTATGTTCATTCTTATTTATGTTAATATTCACAATAGCTAATGTGTTCCTCAACGATGTAATTACGAAAGTTATTATTAATGAAAATTTGTTTAATATTTTTAAATCAGTATAGAAAAGCTTTCTTGTTGAAGAGTTAGCTTTTTCATGATTTATTAAGTTTCATATAATAGCTATTTCGTAATATATATATATACATATGTATGATATATATATATATATATATATATATATATATATATATATGTGTGTGTGTGTGTGTGTGTGTGTGTGTGTGTGTGTTTGTGTGTGTGTGTGTAAAAATATATAGAAAATAGGAAAGAACGTGTTAGGTAAATAATCCAAAGTTCTTTAGTATTTTTTTTGTTATTATTTTCAAAATAGTGCTCGATACAAAAGTATAGCATAAATATAATTATTTATTTAAAAATATGATTCCAACGCTACATAAGAGTTCTCATGTTTCCAAACAAGAGCTCTTGTTTTGAAACATAAGAACTCTTATGTAGCGTTGGAATCATATTTTAAATAAATATATATATATATATATATATATATATATATATATATATATATATATTAATATTTAAAGAGATTTTTATTCAGTTTTTCTCGTGTCCTTACAATTATTCTTTCCATAGTGTTTATTGTCAAGAGTGATTTCGGATAATACTTTTTAACCCTAGAACTCTAACCATCAATTAAAGTTATACCACTACTAACCATGGGTATATCATACCCGATTTTGATAATATCAAAAAAAATTAAATATAAATCTTTATTTGAAATATTTTACATACAGGCACTTCAAACTTTGTACTTTGAGTTAACATTAATAGGAACTGAAAAACATATTATTTAGGTAAGAAAATCAGGTACTGAAAATTGTAATTAAAAATAGGAAAATTTGCGCTGTGTACTATATACCCATGGTTAGTGTTCTAGGGTTAAAGACGTTTTTAAATTTGGTGGAACCAAAGATTGTTAATGTATTTGTGTTGATTCCTATACTCCCATGGGGGTAGTAGTAATTTCCATCCTATGGAATTTGTTTTTTTTTTTTCATCTCAAATGCAGCCGAAGCATTTTTCGAAAAAAGTGCTATTCAGGGCGGGATTGTTTTTTTTTTTTTATTGTCATTAGAGAAATAGCCTCCAAAAATTATATTAAAAATCAACAGATCCTAATCAGCAATATTATTTCGAAAAGAGCCTAGATATATTTTCTGTTATTCCACTAAGATTGGAATTACCCTGCTGCTACTCTCACACAAAACAGTATAGGAATCATGACTAATGCACTGACAATTTTGTTACCAGGGAGGCTACCACCCCTTGAAAGTGACAACAGTATTAGCCGAAAGGTTTCGGGTAAAAAATGCCCTGAAAAATTCATCCAGTCACGGAGATAGGTTGTGGAGAGACAAGTAAAATTGAAATAAAGGCTTACAAAATATTATTTGTTTGTCATATGCAACGGAACATTACGTAAAAGAAGGATTACTGCCGAAATATAAAATATAAATAATTGCTTCTTTCCATCCTCATTGTAGATGGTCGGGAATCATGGAAAAATGTTACAGTTTTGAATTCAGAATTGTCCTTCTCTCAGACTGGCTGTCAACCACGTCTATAGGGCACAGACTGTCATACTATTTAACCCATACCTAGGTAACTCCATGACTGCCATCGGGCAAAAAGTGACAGCTGTGAGTCACGAATCCTCGTTTCACACACACACACACACACACACACACACACACACACACACACACACACACACACACACACATATATATATGTTCATCTGTTTACTCTCGCTCTCTTTTTCTCTCTTTCTGTCACTTCTCTCTCTCTCTCCCTTCTCTCTTTCTATCTATCTATCTATCTATCTATCTATCTATCTATCTATCTATCTATCTATCTATCTGTGTGTGTGTGTAGAGAGAGAAAGAGACAGGGAGACTAACAGAGTCAGATCTCATTAATTCAAACTCCATATATATATATATATATATATATATATATATATATATATATATATACGGGTGTGCGTAAATAAAGAAAAATTTGTACAAATCAAATATATGTAAATGTCTGCATGTGCGTGTACTTTGATTAACTGAGTACGGTACAAAACCAAATGATGGAAAATGAAGGACGAAGGTAGGGAGACTGTATTTTGCCAATCTTGCTAGCTTTGAAATTATTATTAGAAATCCTGTTTTACCTGACCTTGATATCGGGACCAATAGAAAATAAACACCTACTTCAGCCACAATGTATAAATAGATGCCCATGTATTTAATCAAAAGTTTGGATTAATGAGATCTGTCTTTGCCTGTCTATCTCTCTCATTCACTCTCTCTCTATATATATATATATATATAAAGAATGAGAGATCAGACATATATATATATATATATATATATATATATATATATATATATATATATATATAATTATTTATTTAAAAATATGATTCCAACGCCACATGATATATAGATATATTTTAAGACATTTTTACATATATTTACATTTTTTAAGACATTTTTACACATATATATTTTAAGATATTTTTACACACACACACACACACACACACACACATATATATATATATATATATATATATATATATATATATATATTTTAAGACATTTTTATGTTTATACATTCTTTTTATAATTAAAATGATTGTCGGACTTTGTCCATTTCATATATATATATGTGTGTGTGCGTGTGTGTGTGTGTTACATATAATTTTAAGGAATTCTATATTTATGGATAAAAGTGCTCAGTATCAAG